CTCATTCGTGAATCGGCCCCTTTGCTCCACTTTTGGATGGCTGGCTTCCGCCATGCCCAGCTATACTAAATGTTCTACATGGGAAAGTGATTCTCCTTAAATGCCTTCAAATTTAAAGCATCTATTTTGAATATCTTAGTGTTTATGATTCAAAATATCTAGCATCAAAAAAAGAAAGATTACAAACACAAAATACCAAGTAGTAAATGAAGGAGATATTTTTCCATTAGTAACTGAGAGCAGAGAAATTACTGTAAGCAGAGTTGTTGAGCAGTTAATGCCAGAGGAAAAAAAAAACGAAATGAGCTATAGAACCATAGAATCTTAGTGTTGGCAGAGACTGTGAAGTTCATGCCGTCCTACCCTATCATTTTTCAATGAAGAGACTGAGATGTGGGGAGTTAGGGGACTTGACTTGCCCAAGACACATAGTTGTTTACTGACAGTCAGGCCAAAAACATTTCCCAACTCCCAGTCCGGAACTCTATAGTTCGGCATGCTATTGCCATTCTCTACTGAAAATTAACACTAACTCAGCCTGGAATATAGAAGAGTTCAGCATCTGTGGGGAGGATGAATTCAGAGAGGGAAATCAGTCTGGGAAAAGGTAGGAGGAAATGGGTCATTCTTTGTTGTGACTTGTTGGTCAAGCTTGTGTAAGACATTTTTTTGAGTTTACTCCCCTGCACCTTTCCACAAAATAAAATTCAATGAATTGGTTGTAATACCCCAGGGTTCATATTTATATGTTCAGGTTTGAATTGCTTGGAAAATTCTCCATGTACAGGTTATATCTCCAAATGTAGAGTGGTTTGTGGGTGGTATTGCTGTTGATCCTTGTTATTTACATGAGCCTGACTTTCGTACTCTGGCATGAAATGTGCTCCAGAATCCTAGTGGGGAAAAACTCTCCATGGGATGCTCCTAACTGGTGATCAGAAGTTGATTTAAGATGCAAGCATTATCTTCTATGAACCCTTGTATTCCATTAACCTCTTGTGGAACGTGGGCCATATATGGAACTTTTAATCAGGCTTATAAATTAGATGAAATAATTTTCTTTATTTGGAAGCACAAAGTAATTTGAAGTAAACTAGTAGCAAAGAAAATACAATAAAAATGTCCCAATAGGATGCCCTGAGAAATAGCAGTACAGGTCTTTTAGACTAGTCAAATATTTTTCAGAATAGAGCAAACAGAAATGAGAGAATCAGACAATATGATGAAAACTACAGATGAAATGTTTTGCATGAAAAGTGATTATATACAAGAGAGGGCTCAAGAGTGGGTAGGAGTGGAGTTGGAAAGGAGCTTGTAACTGAAATAAGAGAAGATAATGCTTGACCAGGTCTAGTAAAATATTCCCTGCCACAACCACTGTTCCATGAAGAGATTGAGCCAAGAGGCGTGAATAAACTAACCTTAAGTTCAGAGTTGCCATTATTGTGGGAGGCACCAGGGAGAACATATCCGGATTTGTGTTGCACAGTAATCACTGCTGGGTGTCAGCATTCATCAGCCAGATGGTCAGACCCACAATTAATCAATTACACTGGGATGATCAACTGGACTAAGTTTTCCCCTTTGGTAAAAAACCATCATCATGAGGTTAAGGCCAATAGCACTTATATCCTGTTGCTTTTGGAGAAGCTTCTAAAATTTCCTCTTTTACTTTTTTGGGTCTCTAGTTACTGGACACTGTTAGGCTCCAAGTTGCTTTGACAACATACATACCCCAAATCAAGCTTTCACATAATAGATTTTCAATATCTACAGTGTTCAAGTATAATGTTTAACATACCCAGACAGAAATAAGCTTTTTAAAGCAACATTGTAAGAAGTGTTACTCAACTGATATTACTATAGTCTTCATATTGATTCCACTCAGCCCAAAGGAAGACCACTGGAAGGGATTCCTTCACTGGGTACTTATAAAGATAATGTCATAAATAATAATAGCAATTTATTGTGTTCATCTCATGACAGGTACTGCTGTGATAAGGACTGACACACATTGATTCAATGAGGATGATAATATTACTTCCATTTCAAAGAGAAGGAAACTGAGGCTAGAAAGTTCATTTGCTCAAAGTTAAACATTTAATAAATATGTGTTGAGATGATTTAATACCCTCTGGAATGAAAACTAAATAAAATTTATTTTACCTTTTTTATTTATTTCAATGGGGTACAAATGGTTTTTTGTTACATGGACGAATTGTATAGTAGTGAAGTCAGGGATTTTAGTGCACCCGTTACCCTAATGATATACATTGTACCTGATAAGTAATTTTTCATCCCTCACCTACCTCCCACCCTCCCCTCATCTGAGTCTCCAGTGTCTATCATACTACTCTGTATGACCATGCATAGCCATCGTTTAGCTCCCACTTATAAGTGAGAACATGTAGTATTTGTTTTTTCATTCCTGAGATACTTCACTTAGGATAATGGCCTCCATTCCATCCAACTTGCTGCAAAAGACATTATTTCATTCTTTTTTATGACTGAGTAGTATTCCATGGTGTATATATACCACATTTTCTTTATCCACTCATCAGTTTTTGGGTACTTAGGTTGATTTCGTATCTTTGCAATTGTGAATTGTACTGCAGTAAACATATGAGTGCAGGTGTCTTTTGGATGTAATAATTTTTTTGCCTTGGGTAGATACCCAGTAGAGAGATTGCTAGGTTGAATGGTAGATCTACTTTTAGTTCTTTAAGAAATCTCCATAATGCTTTCCATAGAGGTTATGCTAATTTACAATCCCACCAAGAGGGTATAAGCATTCCCTTTTCATTGCATCTGCACCAATATCTATCATTTTTTAACTTTTTAATAATAGCCATTCTGAGACAGGTAACGTGGTATCTCATTGTGGTTTTAATTTGCATTTCCCTAATGATTAGTGATGTTGAGCATTTTTTCATGTTTGTTGGCCATTTGTATATCTTCTTTTGCAAAATGTCTGTTCATATCTTTTGCCCACTTTTTAATGGAGTTACTCCTTATTTTCTTGCTGATTTGAGTCCTTATGCATACACATCTGTGCATTTCTAAGAGAAAAAAATTAGGAATATGTTATGGTTCCTTATTATTCCTCTTCAAAGAACTTTAAAGAAACCTTTACTAGTGTTCACCAAATCTATTGCTCTTACTCTGTTTTCCATGCCATTCTGCCCCACCCCATCTGACTTGAGAATGCTTCCTTACTTCAGGGCTATCACTACTGTTTGCTGATAATTCTCAGTCTCTTCAGTATCCTCGTCGAGATCTGGTTCCTCTAAGTCTGTTTGGATACTAAGATTTTTCTTTATCAGTTGACATAGAGGGAGATTTGCCTCCTCAGAAACAAAATGTCTATCACTAAGTTATTTTTTATGTTGAACCTGCTTTTTGCTTCTGTTTAATTTTCTCTCTCCTCTTGGTGTATTACAGTACTACTGCATAAGGAGAGATGTATGAAAACCCTATTGGTGGGAAGCATCACTTTCTGGTGGAGGTCTATGCTGACCTTATTGAGTAGAAATATAGATACAATGTCATAGTTCCCTGAGTTTCTTCGTTTAACTTGTTCTTAACTATTCTCTGCCCTTACCCAAGCTGGATTTAAGGAGTGCTTCTCTTTAACCATTTCATACAGACTATAAAGGCCATTTTTTACCAAAATGTACAAAATATCTGAGATATCAGGCTCTTACTTATAATTATATTATTTTATATGAGGCTTCTCTTGCTATTTAACTGCAGTGCTTTGCCTTTTATTTGTTTTACTACTTACTGATTTGGGAAAACAATACCAAAATACCAGGAGAGTATGTAGGAAAACACCGTTTGGAGAGCACATGGAAGAAAAGGTATTTCAGAAATTGTAATGTGCATCTCTTATCCTCCAGGGCTCCACCAGTGCCCTCTTTTTTCTGACTGTGCTACTCTATTTTGTCTTTGCTATGTTTGGTAGGCAGCTGTTTTTTCCTTGACTCTTCTTTTTCTACAATCCTATGATCTTCACCCCAGAGCCGATGAGGCTCTTTCATTTTGACCTACAGTATCCCTGCATGTTGCAAAACCGAGCCCTGCCATCTAGACTGCCTTTCTGCTTCATTTTGCTCCTGACCTAAACCCCCCTGCTATTCCAGGCCTGGCCTCTCATGACCAGAGACTGCTGACTCATCCTGGCCTGTGCCAAGCTGTGCAGTCGCTTAGTGATGTGGACAGGAGTCGAAGGACTAGAATGAGATCACTGAACTCATTTCACTTGTTGCTTACGGTACAGTCCAGCATGAGCTGGAAATGTAGGAACCTCAGCCTCCCGAGCAGAAAGAGTAAGTAGATTAAACACACCGCATCACCAAGTCCTCAACAAGCAGTAGTCGGGTGGTGGGTGGGGGCTCGCTTTATCATGGCCATGGCCAGGGCATTCGGGTTCATCAGGAGTTTTCCTTTGTCCTCTCTTCTTCCTCTCCTCCACAGTCGCACCCTTCCCCCCTTCCCTGAACTTCCCTTCTGAAAATGTCTGGATGGAACAGCAATGATCTGGGCAGAAATGAAATTTTGCTAATAAGCAGCCTCCGCACAAAATCCTGGAACAGTGACACTGTTGAAACTGCTTAGTTTAGTTTGTCTACTGGGAACTCACATGAACTTCCCAACAGAATTCAAGGGGATGAAAAAGTCTTTTTTTTTTTTTTTTGTTCTCCTTTTCTTTTTGATTCTCTGTTTCTTTCTGTTTTGAGGAAGGTAGTTTCAGGAGACATGGCTGCATTCTGGTGTGGTGTAAAGTTTTCCGTCGGGAGACAATAATGTACATTCCTCTGGCAGGACGGGATGGGTTTTTTTTTTTTTGTTTCTCTTGCTGTTGTTTATTTATAAGACATTTCCTCTCAGTTAGTGGAAGTTAGATCGTAAGAGGCTCCAGTGATTTTCCTTCCACCTCCCCTCCCTAATTTCTGTGCTTCAGCACTCTGGAACACTGTGAACTCGACAAACTAATCAGAGCAGGGAGCTTAACAGCCAGGCCTGGACACTCTCAAGAGACTGTGTGCTGATTCTCAGTCGTCACTCGTTGGATCAGGAACCACAGTCCTGGTGAGTGGTGAGGTTCCAGAATTTGATGTGTCAAGGATTCTATTCTTGGTGTCTCAGAGGCAGGCAGGAAATAAAGGGTGTTTTTAAAGAGAAAAAATGTAATTAAAAAAAACTGCCAAACAATCAAATGGAATGATGAAGATTTTTAGTGTGCACAACGGAGAGCACCCTATGGACAATGGCAGAGCCTTGTGGCTATGCTGAGGAGGGGCCTGCGGGCTTAAGTTTTGTGCTGCCACCGATGGATGGATGGATGTCAGCCTTGACCTGCCAAGCAAACATGCTTGTGGGAGGAGGAAGATAGGTGAGTGGGTGAGGGCAGGGAGGTAGTATTCAGCGTGGTAGGAGGGGGAAGTGAAAGCGGGATTAACTGTTCATTTGGAGTTTCCCTCTACCGACTTTTCATGCATCTCAGTTCTGAGCATTTGCGTTATGCTCCCAGTACTTACATACCCGGCCAAGCAGGAAAGAATATCTATAGTGGATATAGAGCAAAAGAACATTGTTAATACTGTTCTTCTAAAGATCATTTTGCTAAGAACTGGCTGCTTTTAAATGTTAGGGAACCCCCCCACCCAACCTTTGGAACATACTATTTGTCACACCCTACTCTTTATTCTTTGGCATTCATAGTATTAAGCAAAAGAATGCAATGAGAATCCGTATTTTGTTCCAGGGAAATTTATCATCCTGCCATAAGACAAATAGATGACTGTCCTCACAGTATTAAACCCAAATATAGTATTGTCCTCAATATAAGAGACTCTGATTGAGTGTGCTCTGGGAAGTTGTCGAAGGAATGGAGTGGGGGTGGTTGCATCCTGTCTGTTGTGAGACTAGCCGAGGAGTCCACAGACCAGATTGTGTAGCCAAAATGTGCCTTCTATATCCATCTTAATAACTCACACTTGCCCTGGAAGTGTAATTTCAGTTGGAATGTGTTTTTGTCCTTTACCATCGGTCCCTACTTAGTTTCTCTTCTAGAGGTATTTGATCGTACTGTCCTTTCTCATCTTCTTTCTAATTTCAAGAATCTGGCATGTTCCAAAATATGAAAAGTGGAAAAAACAAAAAAGCAAAAACCAAAAAAACATGGTGGGCACAAAAGCATTTGACTGTGTGGCAGCATCTGAAGTGAATTGCTTTTTGGAGAGAGCGGGGGAGTCTTTGATGTCCCCAATATGGTTCTCATAGGCAAAAACTTCCAAGAACCACAACCCAGCCTAAGGGACACTTACTTGACGTTCTTAAATATTTGGAAAGAGATGCTATTTTATTGTTTTAGTTGTCTTTGCTATTAACACATTGCCAGTAGATTTCTCCTAAAAGTTGAAAATGCTTTAGCAATAGTTGATTTTGCATTTAACCTGATGTGTATTATATGTGCCTGTTCTGTGTACTCTTGTCCAAGCCGGTACAGAGATCCAACATATTATATTGATACTGAGCTTTGGAATTTTGTTTGTTCTCGAGTGATTCAGATTCTTAACTACAGAATTCACACATGCTCTTATACCCCAAATTCCCTACAGAGACTGACCTCAGCTATAGCCTTATCAGGGTTTGTCAGTGACCTCTAGGGCAAAGAGTCAGCTTCCTGTCACAATTCCTACAGTTTGTGAGGCACATCAAAATCCTCAGCTGTCACTGTGGTAGGGAGCAGTCTCAGAGTTTTATTAGGGCCAGTATGCTAAAAGTTTAATGTTATAGAATTAGTAAAATTTGCCTATTTTAGTTAGCCCATGTTAATTGTAACTATACCATTTGTGTGTGTGTGTGTGTGTGTGTGTGTGTGTGTGTGTGTGTGTGTGTGTGTATGTGTATAATGTTTCTTAGGTGTTTTCTATTAGTTCTTTTGTTTTCTAAAAAAAGAAGTTGAATGGGAAATGTTGCGAAATTTTAAAAATGTGGTATAAAAAATGTAACTAGCTCTCCGGCCATTACCACCAAGACTTATGTAGGAGGTTGTGACTTCCTCAGTTAATACTCAAACTGTACAGACTCCCAGGAGAATTGTCCCCAGTCTCTGGGAGGGATGTCTATTAGGACTACGTTGAAGGCCAGGTAGGTCTGTAACACTTTGGAAACATTTTATCATTGAAATCTATGACTGTATATAAAATTTTATAAGCCACTTTAAACAGAGAATAGGTAAACACAAATATCTAAGAGTATGTCCCAAGAGATGACATTTTTAAAAACATAATCTGCCAGAGAGATTTTCTTTATAGTTGCTAAGATCTGGAGTTCCATGGGGCCATGGAAGAATTCCATGGCTATGGCCGGGCGCGGTGGCTCATGCCTGTAATCCTAGCACTCTGGGAGGCCGAGGCGGGCGGATTGTTTGAGCTCAGGAGTTCGAAACCAGCCTGAGCAAGAGCGAGACCCTATCTCTACTAAAAATAGAAAGAAATTAATCGGACAACTAAAAATATATAGAAAAAATTAGCCGGACATGGTGGCGCATGCCTGTAGTCCCAGCTACTCAGGAGGCTGAGGCAGAAGGATCGCTTGAGCCCAGGAATCTGAGGTTGCTGTGAGCTAGGATGATGCCACAGCACTCTAGCCCAGGCAAAAGAGTGAGACTCCGTCTCAAAAAAAAAAAAAAAAAAAGAATTCCATGGCTACGTTGAAGCATATAAGAAGTCAGGATTTGATTGGCATACCTTGATACAAAGGCAAGACAATGATGTATTTCTTTGTACTTAAATGGTTGTATTAATATTACCTAATTTTTTCAATACCTAGATTATAAACCTTTACAGTATACTGTCAATAACTCAGTTTTTCAGTGTCACCTGGAAATTTTAATTTCATTAAATTAATGAGGATGCATGTTATAAAATGTATATTTTCTTGCATGAGCATTTTAGATGTAAGCACTTCCTATATGTTATACTCATTTAATTAGGCAGTCACAATTATACACAAGTGTAATTGCTAAATAACAGAATTGTGATTGCCCCAAAAAGAAATTGTTCTCACTTATTTGTATAGAAATGCTTCTTTGGTATTTATGGGATTCCCTAAGAAAGACACATATTTGTTATGCATGCTACTGTATCCTGACATCTACATTAGCAGAATTTCTTATCACAGATTACCTGATTCACTTTGCTTTCTTTTATATGTAAATCACATTGTTTTAAATGAAATATAATAATTAGAAGATAAAATAAATGTTGGAAAAATTTCGATTTCCAAATTGTAATTATGACCATCATCATCAACTAAACTGTCCCAGATAACAGGAAAAAAAAAAAAAAGACAAAAAGACGTATTTTAAAAACTTAAAAAGGAGAAGTTAATTCCTAGTATCATATTATTGGATATGTATGTTAGCTTGTAAATATACACACACACAAAATCACATACCTATGCTCAACTATTAAAAATATGACCAAATACCAGCCAGGCTTATTTGCCTTCAAATTTAATTAAATGTTTTACAAATTGACCATAAGTGAAGTATAATTGACATTTTGTTACACTGACAACACAGAAAGTTTATGCAAATACTTATGAAAAATATCTATAAAAGGAAAGATTTAGTTAGCTGAGAAGTTTGGTAATTATCCTTTGTCAAATATACATGTTAGGTTATCAATCTAAATTCTTTTTTTTTTTTTTTTTTTGTCAGTCAGGGTCTCACTGGCCCGGGCTAGAGTGAGTGCCGTGGCATTAGCCTAGCTCACAGCAACTTCCACCTCGGCCTCCCCAAGTGCTGGGATT